CGTGAAAATCCCAGTAGATCCACGTTCAAAGGCACTCAAATCACCTTTCTTCCCCATACTGATGCTCGGTTTGAACTGCAGGAGATTGTCTTGACCATGTCTACATGCCTAAATGCACTGAGTTGCCACCATGTGATTGGCTGATTAGAAATTAAGTGTTAACGAGCAGTTGGACAGGTGTACCTAATAAAGTGGCCAGTGAGTGTATATTAGGATAAACTTTATAAATCATCAGTGGTTGTAACAAGAAAACATTTTTTGTTTGCTGACATCACTATTGATTGCATTTCTTCCTGTCAACAAGCTTCCTTTCATTAAAAATTAAGCCTCACCTACATGATACATGGTCATTTGAGCAGCCAATCATTAATTCATGGGATGACATCATCTCTCACCTTCTCCAGGCTGACGCCCGTCCTCTTGACCAGAGCCTGCAGCCTGGCGATCGTCTCGTTCTCTCTCAGCAGGTAGGAGTTGAGGGGCGAGGCCAGGTTGCCGTTACGCTTGTCAGAAACCATGTCGACAGATCGGAAGCCCCGGTATTTGGCCTGGCTGTCGCTGGAGTGGACGTCCCCCTCTGGAGAAATGCCGAAGGACATGAGCACCTCTGAGATCTCCTGAATGAACTCCAGTTTGTTGGGAAACTGAGGCAGCTCCTCAGGCAGCTCAATGAAGTGATTATCAATGTCCACAAAACACAAGTTGGCCTGGGGAAAAAACAAAACATGAACATAAATATACTCTCCCTCAAGCACAGAAAACTAGGATCATTAAATTTATCCAGGCTAAATGCAGCAATATTCTTAACAAGACATTTTATACATATCTCTAGGTTTAACAGCTTAACCTSTTGATTTATCCCACGCGTCTGACACCTGATTAAACTTTGAACACTTCTGTGCAGAATCCTGGAAACAAAACCACTTTCTGCTAACGAGCTCACTGAAAAGTCAAGCTGGCACACAACCCTGAGAGCAAGATCTGTCTGGTTTAAAATACCCTGGTAAACTGAAGACACCGTGCAAGTTCAATATAAATGGGCTTAGGTTCCAATTATATACAACTAGAATAACAAGACACCCCAAAGTAGCTTAAAATAAACAGAGCCAAAGCAAAGTTAAAGATCGTGGGCAACAATAAACTGACTCTTACAAACTGTAAATCAAACACTGAAAAAATACAAAAATTGTGGGATTAAGTCTTGAAATCTCTAAGCATACTTTAAAATACCAAAATATATCTACACACACTTTAGTATAAGGCCTTTTCAAACAATAAAACTAGAATTTTATTGTTTAAAACATAAAGTTTAGGGTTAAAAGGAAGTTTTCCTTCACAGTGCGTGTTTGTACCTCTTGCGGCAGCTCTAGTTTGGTGCGATCGTCCTGTCCGTTAGAATGGAGGCCCATGAGATACGGAACGGGAGCGTCCAGGAAGTGGAGGAGCGAGGCGGGCAGGATGGGGACGTACACATGCTGCCACTGGTAGGGGAACATTAAGGCTGTGATGCTCTCCGCTACAGTCATCAGTCTCTGATAATCTGTTTCACACACACAGAAGTAAAAGTTAAAATCAAAAGACTGCAACCAAATAAATAAAATTTGAGTCCATGTATTTTAATATCTTTAGGGATTTTTTGATTTGATTGCAAAAACTAACATTCAGATTAATCATTCTAAGACTACATAMATTTTATTACATTTGGGTAAGAATTTTTAGGATGCACTAGTCCAGCTYTTTCAGTTTATATACATATATCAAGGCTGCACAAAGCTTTTCCCCAAAATGAAAATCTATCTGAGGGCAGCGGCCAAATGTAATAATATAATTCATGAAATACAAATACTTCTTAAGTACAGTCCTTTTATTTTAATGATTATGTCCTGCTGGAGTGTGACATGATTACTAATCCGATAACTAATACAGTATCAGATTTTTATATATTTATACTTCTCATTCAACCACAATTAAATTCACTCTGTCTAGGAGGCACAGTTTATATGGATAGTATTTATTTTTTACAATAACAAGCTGCAATAAAAACAAGCAAAAATGAAATAAAAGTAACAACTTTCTATTTTTTGCCTTTTGTAAAAATGTAAGGAGTAGAAAGTACAGATAATTGTGTGAAAATTTATGAAGTAGAAGTAAAAAGTAGGCTGAAATTAATAACTCAAGTGCAGACACCCAAAAATTCTACTRAAGTACAGRAACAAAGTATTTGTACTTAATTATTTTACAACTCTGAAAGCTGCCTTGACACTCGTATATTGTTGTAAAAAGTGTTTCATTTGTATTTTATTYAAACACAAACAAGCTGCATATTTTGTTCCTTGCACTTTACTCCCTAAAACCACAGAGGCCAGTAAACCTCATAAGACAGAGCGTCTGTGATGTTAACTCTGGTRAACTGCTAACGTCTCATTTGTCTGCTCGCTCTTCTGATGTATGACTGTACACAGAAATATCTGCTGCAGACAGAAATCAGCTTCAGTCAAATAATCAGATCAGACCCCAAAAAACAAACAAACARGACCGTTTACAGCCACAATGAGAAGTGCAGGAGGACTTTTCTGGAGCAAGAATTTCACTCTGTAGACACAAATTGTACTAACAAGACATTATAAAACAAAAAGTTAACTCTACTTCAGCATACGGTCATCGTTGTTGTGTAACCTAATYATCATCCACAAGTGAAAGTACATAAGCTACCATTTGTATTTTAACTACACTGGTGATGACCACTTTGTTTAATTTCTGACAAAGTAAGAAACAACATCAGTTTCAGACTCTTTAGGGGAAGTTCTCAGAAAGCCCTCAGTTTCCGGTCGYCCCCCTTACAGCCTGACGGGTGACCCAGCTGCAGCCAGCTGACCCACCGGTCAGAACGCTTTATCGTGACTTCACATAGCAACACTCACGAGCTCAGGGTTTCACACCTCAGTGTGAGGTGTACATGCAAATATGTGCCCTGTCCTCCTCATCTGCATTCCTGTTTAACGCCGTTCACACCTACTGCACGTTCAGAAGCAGCAGCTCTGCCTCTCCTCTTTTGGTGCCAAAATAAAGGCCATTACTTCATTTGGTTATGTGCTGGTCCAGAAGAGGGGGCTCACTTCCAGTCTCAGTGTGATCCTTATCCCAGGATGGGGGATAAGTACACCATCAGCCATGTCCTATTAAAATAACCCATCAGATGGAGCTACTTAAAAATCTGCATGCTCAGGATATTTTAAAAAGTGAGAATTGATAACAGTTTAGGGATGAAGGGATGCTATTATTCATTTATTTCATTTTTTATTTAGCAGTTTATTTCAAACAGGTTTTTTTAAACAAGAAAACAAGCAATCAGCCGTGTTTCCATCCAGTTTTGATTGTTTAATTTAATTTTAATTAATTACAATCCAATTTTTAGTATATTTTGGAGTGCTGACTATCCCATTTTTATCCATCCAATTTTAATTCAAATTTTAAGCAATTTTTTAAAATTTCGCAAAAAGAAAAAACAAAGAATTGTGAATCAGACGTGTTTCTATCAACTGTCTTGAAGTGAATCAATTACGTCAGATGCATGTGTGTAGTAAACAGGAAGTAAAAGTCGCAGGGTCCACACATCTCAGGACCATGGACAGAAGTTATCAGGAACGTGTTGCTACTGTCGGGAAAGTTGTAATTATTCATCTAGTGTCAACTAGTTTTGGCGATTTTACTGCTGTCTGGAGACGTAGAGAAAGAAATGCTATTCTCTTCACGTTACGGGAATAACTGAGAGTACGCCGACAGCGGGAGGAGGGTCCAGCTGCTTTTGAGCATTAACTTTTTCAATAAAACCAAAAACCACCTCAAGCGAGCGTATCAACTTTTTTTGCAAATTAGAGGAAGTTTTTTTGAAACGTGCCGTTTTCACTCACCTTTTCTGAAGCAATACTTCAAAATGCACATTAAAAAACGCTGATGGAAACACAGCCAGTGGGACAAAAAAAATACATGCAAACATAACCAAGAACCAAGTACAGTAATTAGATTACCACTACGTTCCTGTTTGAAAAGGAGTAGGAAGAAGTGAACACTTAATACAGTGTGGACGACTAAATATGTACTCAAAACAGAGAAGTAAAACTTAGTGTTTTAAAACCAATGAACTGGATGTTTTAACTTTCCAGTTTCTGTTTGAGCTGAAATATTGTTGTTGTTTTTTTGGTCAAAACAAAATAAAAAAGCAGGGGTCCTGTTTTAAAATAGATGAAGTTGGAAAAAAAAATATTGCTTCAAAGTGTTAGTTCTGACATATATCAGAACACAAGATTTAACTTTCCAGTAAACAGTTCTAAAAATAAAAGCTGACATAGGAACAGCTTCAACTTTGTGCATTTAACCTTGATTGTTATCATCATGCTTCATTTCTGTGTCTGACTGGAACAACTTCAGTCAGTTGAGTTGTTCCCTTCAGGCAGTCCTCCTCTGATTTGTCATGTCACTGTCAACTGCATGAATCACATAAATGCACAAGACGCAAAAAGCAAATTATGTCTGGATTCAGCCCCATCACAATAGCTGACGCACAATGGGCTTTCAGCCTCAGTATAAGAGAAAAAGTAGCACTTTTCACACCATGTACTTTTCCCTTCATGGAAAACAAACGACATTTTTTTCTCCTTTAAATCCAAGTGAAGAATTCCTGTTCTATTTGTGGCACACGGTGTTTCTGCTTGTCTCAGTGTCTTTACTAAAGTGCGTGGCAAATTTCCTTGTTTCAACTGGATGGAAGCTCAGCTCCACACGACCCACCGCCTTCACATGTTCTGCAGTGATGAGCCTCACGGGGGGGTGAAGAGAGGCATGATGTCACTGCTAACCAATAATAATCATCCTGCGTTACCGCTATCCTCCCCGTCCTCGCGTTTCCAAGCAACACGACAGCTTTCCCCCTTAAGAGCTTTTCCCTCCCGGCCCCTGCCGTTTTGTAAACCATTTGCAGTTGTAATGGATCCAGTCGGCGCAGCAGACCCAGCATCCTTAACGTGAGCTGCTCGTTTCTGCGCCGTCTTTATGAAAAACACCAGCTCTGTTGTCCAAAGGATTTTATGAATGAGCTGGATTTTAACTAATGATGAAATGGAAGGAGAGTTCAGGCTCCCAGTGATAATGAAGACTAATCATTTGGTTTTTGAGGCTAATTAAATTAGTGTTACATCTCAGGAGACACAGATCACAGTTTTACTGTTTTATCGTGATCGAATACAATCATAAAGTTTGTGCTTCATTTAAAGTGCCTGTCACATCTATTTTTTTGTGATACATGTGATTGCACTTTTGGAAAGATAACATGCATAACATATTGCAAAATCAATTTCACACCACTGACATGAACAGCTGTTGAGATACTTGCATGTGAAGTAACAGGAAGTGATGTCAAAGGGGAATGTCTGCATGTAAACAGAGTGTTGCTACAACAGCTGACAACACAGACAGCAGGGAATTTTCTGATGTTTCTTTAGATCGTTTTAGTCTCTATAAGAGAGAGATGATGAAGAGTCAGAGTTCAAATAATATTTTAACAAACAAAGACCAGGGAGTTTTCTTTCCTAGAGTTCCCCTTTGATGTCACTTCCTGTTTCACTTTAGCTGAGCCAAATTCAAAGGAAAACATGCCAGTTATGTGACAAAATGGGTTAAATCGTGTGTTTTATGCCAATTTTCCTAAATATGAAGCTATTTTCTTTGACTTTTTGTATTTGAAGGATAGCCATGTCACAGACACTTTAACGTCTGTGAAGTTAACAAGCATCACAAACATGCAACAAATTTTGCATAAATATCCTTTTTTCACTTTCAGGTATAAAGTTTTGTTTACAGTTTTCGAAAATGAAGAGTTGCRCTCAGGCAACAGGATGCAAATCAGCCTGGGAAACTTGTACTTTTTCAACATCTGTGATAGAGGAGACTGAATTACCAGCTTCAGTTAGATATTCTGAGAATATCTTATAAAAACAGGTTGACAAGACCTTATAATTCTTAATTATTTCTAACTTCTTTTGTATTTTCAGTCATTTAAATGATTCATATAGTGCTGTACCAAATGATTATTTTCTAATCGATTAATCTAACGATTATTTTTTCGATTAATCGATTATTCTAACAACAAATCTATAAGTTTTTCTGATGTGAGTGCACTGGATATTTAAAATGTTTTCATCAAATTAACAAGAACAGTTCTTTAATGTTCTAATATTTTCTGTAATAGTTTTTTCATGGACACAAAATTTGCACTCTAGAGTCAATTCTTTAACAAAAAAAGCTTAAAAGGTTTAACATCAACATAAAATCTCAACCAAAGCATATAAAATTCAACTAAAAGAAATATAGTGCAAGATGTTAACAATCTAACAAATGAACTAAATCATGCAAAATTCAAATCACTCTGGAAAAACTATAATAAACATATAAAAAAAACATTTATTTATTATTTTTTATTTAACATATTTCTCAATATAAAAAATTTAACAAATATCAAGACAACATCCAACTCTTTGTATTGTAACATCAGTTGTGTAACTTATTTCTTTAAGGTGAAAACTGTTGAAAACAACAAGACTGTTTTGTCTTATTACACAAATTAAAATCCAGCTCCACATATTTCTATTGATGTCATTTCCCCACTAGAAAAATGTGTGATGGAGGTCCATGGAAGGCAAATAAGTTTAAATCAAATAAACAAAAGAGGATGCGGTTAAAATAAATAAAAGATATTTAAGCTACGTTTTGAACATCCAGAACACGTCCAACACTTGTTGGCTGCTTGTGCTCTTTAGGTCAGACGTGTGTCTGAAGCTCCTCTGTTGTTTGAGACGCTGGGGGAACTGGGAACGTGGCTCGACCTAACACCAGTCTTTAATGGTGGATGAAATAAAGAAAGTGGTGGTACTTTATTTACTTTGAGCAAGCGAACGTCGTGCTCACAAGATAATTAATCCACCAGATAATTCAGAGGCGGTCTGTTTGGTAAATTTTACTCCAGGAACTGCGAGGCTTGTTTTCAAGCTTCAGACTGAACTGAAGCAGCGGCTGCTGATGTCATTATGCTCTTACGCGATGCTGCGTTCAGGACAAGCATGAAAAACTCACCACTCTTATGCCAATACAGTCGCAATGATGCATTTAAGTACTGAAATGGAATTGCATGAACATTCACGTGGTGGTTATGTAATACAGCGAATCGATAATAAAAAATCGGCGTCGACAAATTTACATAATCGACGTCATCGATTATTTCAACTAATCGGTGCAGCCCTAGATTCATATGATTTTGACAGGTGTCCTTGCTGAACAGGATAATCTTGATTACTTGTAATCCTTCGGTATCGGATGCTTAAGACTACATGAAAGCACTGAGGGTAACAGTAGAAGACTGCCACTTACGTTGTGAGTAGAGTAATATCTGCATCTCGAGCAGGGCACATGTGAACAGCTGAAGGACGTTCTCCACCCCGAGCAGATTAAACATTTCACCGATGGCAAAGTCAAAGAGCGGGAGCTCCGACGTGCTGGGCCTCTGGCACACGATGGGCCCGTAGACGCCTGAGAACTTGAGGGAACGCCCTGAGGGAGGCTGGGGCACCTCGTAGAGGATGTTGAAGATGTAGCTCTCCAGTGGGAGGGGAGGGGGCTGCAGGGACGTGACGGCCTGGTGAAGCTGCTCCAGCACCTTCCTGCACGCCTGAGCGAAAGCCATGGGGGTGATGAGGCAGATGCACTTGGACACGTACAGCGTGTCGCGGCTGATGTCGTAGGAGTTGAAGCGCTGCAGGCGGGAGATGGCGGGCGCGGCGTGGAGCACCGGACGCGGCTGGGAAAGCCGCTGGTCCTCGGGTCCTTGCGGGGAGGTGGGCGTGTGTAAGATGTCGTACTGCTCTGCGTTGTGCATGTGGTAAAGAGTCTGCATCGCACTGCAGATCTGCTTACTGGTCACCTCCTCGAAGAAGGTGAGGGCAAAGCCATATGTCCGAGAGCCATCTTCTCTGGTGATGATGAAGGAGTGGAAGTGTGGCTCCCTGGAGTCCACCTGAGTCCTGAACGACAGACCCTTTGGCATACAGAGCTGTGAGAGGATCACAAAGACGAGAGACATTACTAGCTTAATTTTTTAAGAACTTAAAAACAATCCTTACTAGGGCTGGGTAAAAAAAATGGATTTTATCGATCTTGGATCAATTTCATTTAAATTTGGGAAAATCGATTCACAGGGCATGAGATCGATTCTTCCCAATGGCGTCTTGTGTGCGCATCTGAAACGCGTTTCTATATTTTGTCAGTCCTGGCTTGCCGTATGTTTACATCCAGCTGATGTTCAGTGCTAACATTAGCTTTCGATAAGTTGTCTGGAGCTAAACAAAAGAAACTAAGGATTCGCTCACGTTACCAGCCAACTCTCAGCTGAACTTAAAGATAACAGAGACCATGGTGACTTTTGTTTGCAAAGATTTGCGCTCCTACGCTGTAGCGAAAACGAAGCAAGCTTCGACGAGCGGCTCGTTAGGTGCTCGAACCAAACAACTGTATGTAAACATCTGACTGAAACTGTTCTCCACAGCGTGTATTAATGTGTGAAAGATAACATTCTAACAAAATCGTTTCGTTTTGTTACCAATATTATTATTTTTAAACTTTAAGAAACGTCTTAATGAAATCCACAGTGCTAAATGTTGTAGTTGTATTATTTGTTTTAATAAGGTATAAGTAATAAGTTTTAATACGTTATATTGAACATAACAGAAGCTAAGAGAAACATTACAAATATACAGTTTTCACACTCTCAAAAGGAGTGGGCAGAAGTATATTTATATTAGCTCAACTCTTCTCCTGCACCCTTATTCCCATCACTTCTTATTTATCAAGAAAATTATTAATTTCTTAAAAATGAATTCCTCCAACAACACTGTCACCTGCAATTCCTTTTTAATTTAAAACCTTTTAAACTTGTGACAGTTTTCCTTCAAGATTAAACAGTTTAATATAAAAGTTTGTCCTTATGGTGAAGAGAAAAGATAGTGACCATTTTCATTATTTAAGAGCAGATCGAATCGAATCGTGATGAATCGATTCAGAACCTTATGAATCGAAATCGAACTGGCCATGATACCCAGCCCTAATCCTTACATTTAAACAATCAGATTTTGATAGAACTGTGTGGATTATCATACCATGCCCACTGCATCCTGGTCGAATGGATTCCACTCAACATTTTCTGGATAATGTGCTAGGACTTTGGATTTAAAGGTTCTCCGCAGTGGACTCTGCTCAAAATTCTCACCTGGAAAGCCAAACAAACAGAGTGCAGAAACAAAAAGGGAGACAAACGGTTAAACATCCCACGTGTGGACACAGAAGCTGAGCGACAGTTTGATTTGACGCAAGCTTGAAGTTCCAGGCACATCACAAAGGGAAAGAAAATCTGCACGTCTGTCTTTAAAGGAAGACTGCATTGCATCATATAAAGCTGCCATCAGCATCCTGTTTCAAAGAAAATCAACAATTAAAACTGAAATAGACCCAACTGTATGGCTCTACATGCTTCAGGACAGCTTTAATGGCAGTACAGAGGGAAGCGGAAATTAATCAGTCATAGAAGCGCGCATTGAGTTGATTTCAACCCAGATTAAAGCAGAAGTGATGCACATACCAAGGCAGTACTGAAAAAAAAGTTATTCAGAGTGTAGGGGGAGAGTAAACATTGACCAAGCAATGCCAGTGCAGGCAACACTGGATTTGTGTGTGAGATACAGAAGCGGTGATTGTCAAACATCAGCTCTTTGTTCAGCTGCTACTGAAGGAGGGGAAGTAACACAGTGGAGGGGAGAAATGAATACCAGGAGGAGAGAAATCAAAATTGCACAAAACAGGAAAAGGCAAATCTCCATCTGTGCAGGAAATTAAAAGTAAAAAAAAAGGTTTCTGAAGAAAAGAGGGTTGCTGAAAAAAAAAKAAAACAAAACAGAAAGAAACCCAAGGTGCATCCGGTTTAAGGTTGAAGGGTTCAAAGCTAAGCTCGAGATAGGAGGGGAAAGGAGTGTGTGTGGTGGGACGGTTACCTTCATTTGCACTCGCCAATTTTCCTCTGGCCCCATCTCTGAATTTAGTAGCCTCTATATACTGGCATAAAGCTACACGACAAATAAAACAAAAAATGATTAAAAGCCTGGTTGTCGATGGGTAGCGCATCACTTCTCAGTTTGTGCACACTCATCCTCACAGCTGTGCTTCCAAAGTTTTGCCACACACACACACACACACACACACACACACACACACACACACACACACACACACACACACACACACACACAC